CAGGCTTGCCTACAGACGGGTCTTACAGAGATATTCTCTTAATCAAGGTTCCCTCCTTTCAAATGACTAGCTTGTTTCAACTTGATATATTCAGCAAAATAATCTTCACATTAAATTTAATAGTGTGTGTGTGTGTGTGTGTGTGCGTGCGAGTGTAACAAATGACAGGCTTTCTGCCTGTTGTTGTCTATGCAGCCATAGAAATGATAAATTACAGATATTATAGATATGGCAAAATACCCTTTCATCCATCAGTATGCTGGTATATTGTTAGTAAGTTCATCATAGATTTCTTTTTTTATATATATTTTTCTCTCCTCTCTTTATGTGGAAGGTCTATTTTCCATTCTTTTCTTTTCTTTTTTTTTTTTTTTTGAGCTTTCTGGCACGATCTAAGTTATCTTTTCTTTCTTTTTTTTTTATTGGATGTTTTATTTACATTTCCTATGTTGTCCCCTTACCACATCCCCCACCCACCCCGGAACCCCCAATCCCCTCACCCCTCCTCCTTCTTCTCTGTGGATGTAACCTCTATCTACTCCCCCCCACTCCCACCTCCCCACCCTCAAAATTCCCACCCCCTGGGGCATCCAGCTTTCATGAGGTCAAGGTTCTCTTCTTCCACCTATGCCCAGCAGGGCCCTCCACTCTTACAGATTCAGCTGAAGCCCTGGATCTCCCCCCCCCAAGTGCTCCCAGGCTGGTGGTTTAGACCCTGGGAGCTGTGGTTGGTTGGTATTATTGTTCTCCTCATGGTGCCGCAAATCCTTTCAGATCCTTCAGTCTTCACTCTAACTCCTCTATTGAGAAACCCATGATCAGTTCAATGGCTAGTTGTGAGCATCTGCCTCTGAATATGTCAGACTCTTGAACACCTCTGAGGAGACATCCATATCAAGCTCTTATCAGCATGCACTTCCTGAATTCCACATCAGCATCTACCTTTGGTGACTGCACATGGGATGGATACTCAGGTGGAAAGGTCTTCAGACACCCCCTCCTTCAGTTTTTGTCCCTCGCTTTGTCTCCATATTTGCTCCCATGAGTATTTTGTTGCTCCTTCTAAGAAGGACCAAATCACCCCCTCTTGGTCTTCCTTCTTTATGGGCTTCATGTGGCCAGTGAGTTGCATCTTGGGCATTTCAAGGTTCTGGGCTAATATCCAATAATCAGTGAGTGAATACCATGTGTGTTCTTTTGTGATTGCCTTACCTCACTCAGGATGATAATTTCTAGTTCCATCCATTTACCTAGGAACCTCTCGAATTCATTGTTTTTAATAGCTGAGTAATAATCCATTGTGTAAATATACCACATTTTTTGAATCCATTCCTCAGTTGAAGGACATCTGGGTTCTTTCCAGCTCCTGGCTATTATAAATAAAGCTGCTATGAACATAGTTGAGCATATGTCCTTATTATATGTTCGAGCATCTTCTGGGTATATGCCTAGGAGTGGTATAGCTGGATCCTCAGGTAATGCTATGTCCAATTTTCTGAGGAACCGCCACACTGATTTCCAAAGTGGTTGCACCATCTTGCAGTCCCACCAACAATGGAGGAGTGTTCCTCTTTCTCCACACCCTCGCCAGCATCTGCTATCACCTGAGTTTTTAATCTTAGTCATTCTGACTGGTGTGAGATGGAATCTCAGGGTTGTTTTGATTTGCATTTCCCTGACGACTAAGGATGCTGAGCATTTCTTTAGGTGCTTCTCGGCCATTCGAGTTTCTTCCGTTGAAAATTCTTTGTTAAGCTCTATACCCCATTTTTTAATAGGGTAATTTGGTTGTCTGGAGTCTAATTCTTGAGTTCTTTGTATATATTGGATATTAGCCCTCTATCAGATGAAGGATTGGTAAAGATCTTTTCCCAATTTGTTGGTTGTCGTTTTGTCCTATTGACAGTGTCCTTTGCCTTGCAGAAACTTTGCAATTTTATGAAGTCCCATTTGTCAATTCTCGATCTTAGAGCATATGCCATTGGAGTTCTGTTCAGGAACTTTTCCCCTGTGCCCAAGTATTCGAGGGTTTTCCTCACCTTCTCTTCTATTAGTTTCAGTGTATCTGGTTTTATGTGGAGGTCCTTTATGCACTTAGATTTGAGCTTTGTACAAGGGGATAAGAATGGATCAATTTTCATTCTTCTACATGTTGTCCTCCAGTTGAACCAGCACCATTTGTTGAAAATGCTGTCCTTTTTCCACTGGACAGTTTTAGCTCCTTTGTCAAAGATCAAGTGACCATAGGAGTGTGGGTTCATTTCTGGGTCTTGAATTCTATTCCATTGATCTTCCTGCCTGTCTCTGTACCAATACCAGGTAGTTTTTATCACTATTGCTCTGTAGTACAGCTTGAGGTCAGGGATGGTGATTCCTCCTGAAGTTCTTTTATTGTTGAGAATAGTTTTCGCTATCCTGGGTTTTTTGTTATTCCATATGAATTTGAGAATTTCCTTTTCTAACTCTGTGAAGAATTGAATTGGGATTTTAATGGGGATTGCATTGAATCTGTAGATTGCTTTTGGCAAGATGGCCATTTTTATTACATTAATCCTGCCAATCCATGAGCATGGGAGATCTTTCCATCTTCTGAGATCTTCTTCAATTTCTTTCTTCAGAGACTTGAAGTTCTTGTCATACAGGTCTTTCACTTGCTTGGTTAGATTCACATCAAGGTATTTTATATTATTTGCAACTATTGTGAAGGGTGTCATTTCCCTAATTTCTTTTTCAGTCTGTTTATCTTTCATGTAGAGGAAGGCTACTGATTTGTTTGAGTTGATTTTATAACCAGCCACTTTGCTGAAGTTGTTTATCATGTTTAGGAGTTCTCTGGTGGAAGTTTGGGGGTCACTTAAGTATACTGTCATATCATCTGCAAATAGCGATATTTTGACTTCTTCCTTTCCTATTTGTATCCCTTTGACTTCTTTTTGTTGTCTAATTTCTCTGGCTAAGACTTCCAGTACTATATTGAATAGGTAGGGGGAGAGTGGGCAGCCTTGTCTAGTCCCTGATCTTAGTGGGATTGCTTCAAGTTTCTCTCCATTTAGCTTGATGTTGGCTACTGGTTTGCTGTAAATTGCTTTTACTATGTTTAGGTATGGGCCTTGAATTCCTGATCTTTCCAAGACTTTTATCATGAAGGGATGTTGAATTTTGTCAAATGCTTTCTCAGCATCTAGTGAGATGATCATGTGGTTTTTTTCTTTAAGTTTGTTTATATCGTGGATTACATTGATGGATTTCCGAATATTGAACCATCCCTGCATTCCTGGGATAAAACTTACTTGATCATGATGGATGATTGTTTTGATGTGGTCTTGGATTCGGTTTGCTAGAATTTTATTGAGTAATTTTGCATCGATGTTCATAAGGGAGATTGGTCTGAAGTTCTCTTTCTTTGTCGGGTCCTTGTGGGGTTTGGGTATGAGTGTAATTGTAGCTTCATAGAACGAATTGGGTAGTGTTCCTTCTGTCTCTATTTTGTGGAATAGTTTGAAGAGAATTGGTATTAGGTCTTCCTTGAAGGTCTGATAGAATTCAACACTAAAACCATCTGGTCCTGGGCTTTTTTTAGTGGGGAGACTTTTAATGACTGCTGCTATTTCCTGAGGGGTTATGGGACTATTTAGATGGTTTATCTGCTCCTGGTTTAACTTCGGTACCTGGTATCTGTCTAGGAAATTGTCCATTTCATCCAGGTTTTCCAGTTTTGTTGAGTATAGGCCTTTGTAGTAGGATCTGATGATTTTTTGAATTTCTTCAGTTTCTGTTGTTATGTCTCCCTTTTCAGTTCTGATTTTATTAATTTGGATACTCTCTCTGTGGCCTCTGGTTAATCTGGCTAACGGTTTATCTATCTTGTTGATTTTCTCAAAGAACCAACTCCTGGTTTTATTGATATTTTGTATTGTTCTTTCTGTTTCTATTTGGTTGATTTCAGCCCTGAGTTTGATTATTTCCTGCCTTCTACTCCTCCTGGGTGTATTTGCTTCTTTTTGTTCTAGAGCTTTTAGTTGTGCAGTCAACTTGTTAGTGTGTGCTCTTTCCAGTTTCTTTTTGTAGGCACTTAGAGCTATGAGTTTTCCTCTTATCACTGCCTTCATGGAGTCCCACAAGTTTTGGTATGATGTGTCCTCATTTTCATTGAATTCTAAAAAGTCTTTAATTTCTTTCTTTATTTTCTTCCTTGACCAAGTCATCATTGAGTAGAGAGTTGTTCAGTTTCCATGTGCACGTGGGTTTTCCATTGGTTTTGTCATTATTAAAGACCAGTCTTAGTCCGTGGTGATCTGATAAGGTGCCAGGGATTATTTCAATCTTTTTGTATCTGTAGAGGGTTGTTTTGTGACCAATTATATGGTCTATTTTGGAGAAGGTACCATGAGGTGCTGAGAAAAAGGTATATTCTTTTGTTTTAGGATGAAATGTTCTATAGATGTCTGTTAAGTCCATTTGGTTCATAACTTCTGTTAATATCAAAGTGTCTCGGTTTAGTTTCTGTTTCCATGGTCTGTCCATTGCTGAGAGTGGGGTGTTGAAATCTCCCACTATTATTGTGTGAGGTGTAATGTGTGTTTTGAGCTTTAGTAAAGTTTCTTTTATGTATGTAGGTGCCCTGGCATTTGGAGCATAGATGTTCAGAATTGAGAGTTCACCTTGGTAGATTTTTCCTTTGATGAGTATGAAGTGTCCTTCCTTATCTTTTTTGATTAATTTTGGATGAAAGTCGATTTTATTTGATATTAGAATGGCTACTCCAGCTTGTTTCTTGGGACCATTGGCTTGGAAAATTGTTTTCCACCCTTTTATTCTGAGGTAGTGTCTGTCTTTGTCACTGAGGTGCGTTTCTTGAATGCAGCAAAATTCTGGATCTTGTTTGTGTATCCAGTCTGCTAGTCTGCGTCTTTTTATTGGGGAATTGAGACCATTGATGTTAAGAGATATTAAGGAAAAATGGTTGTGGCTTCCTGTTATTTTTGTTATTAGAGGTAAAGTTATGTTTGTATAGTTATCTTCTTTTGAGGTTGTTGGAAGATTACTTCCTTGCTTTTTCTAGGTTGTAGTTTCCCTCCTTGTGTTGGCGTTTTCCATCAATTATCCTTTGAAGTGCTGGGTTTGTGGGAAGATATTGTGCAAATTTGGTTTTGTCATGGAATATCTTGGTTTCACCATCTATATTGATTGAGAGTTTTGCTGGGTATAGTAATCTGGGCTGGCAATTGTGTTCTCTTAGGGTCTGCATGATGTCCGTCCAGGCTCTTCTGGCTTTTATAGTCTCTGGTGAGAAGTCTGGTGTAATTCTTATATGTCTGCCTTTATATGTTACTTGACCTTTTTCCCTTACTGCTTTTAGTATTTTTTCTTTGTTTTGTGCATCTGATGTTTTGATTATTATGTGACGGGAGGTATTTCTTTTCTGGTCTAGTCTATTTGGTGTTCTGTATTCTTGTATGTTTATGGGCATCTTGTTCTTTAGTTTAGGGAAGTTTTCCTCAATAATTTTGTTTAAGATATTTACTGGCCCTTTAAGTTGGGAATCTTCATTCTCATCTATACCTCTTATCCTTAGGTTTGGTCTTCTGATTGTGTCCTGGATTTCCTGGATGTTTTGAGTTAGGAGTTTTTTGCGTTTTTCATTTTCTTTGACAACTGTGTCAATATTTTCCACCGTATCTTCTGCATTTGAGATTCTCTCTTCTATCTCTTGTATTCGGTTGGTGATGCTTGCGTCTGTGACTCCTGATCTCTTTCTTAGGTTTTCTATCTCCATGGTTGTCTCCCTTTGAACTTTCTTTATTGTTTCTATTTCCAGTTTCAGATCCTGAATGTTTTTGTTTAATTCCTTCTTTGTGTTTTCTTGCATTTCTTTAAGGGATTTCTGTGATTCCTCTTTAAGGGCTTCTATCTGTTTACTTGTACTCTCCTGTATTTCTTTAAGGGAGTTACTTAATTCCTTCTTATAATCCTCTATCATCATCATGAGAAGTGATTTTAATTCTGAATCCTGCTTTTCAGGTGTGATGGGGTGTTCAGGGCTTGCTATACTGGGAGAACTGGGCACTGATGATGCCAAGAAACTTTGGTTTCTGTTGCTTATGTTCTTGCGCTTGCCTTTCACCATCTGGGTAACTCTAGTGGTACCTGCCCTCACTGTGTAAGACTGGAGCCTGTATTTCCAGTTATCTTGCTTATTGCAGAGCTCCTCTGAGTCCAGAGGTCTCTGTGGTCTTATGCCCCTAATCTCCTGGGTGGAAGAACTCCTGGGACTCAGGCCACCTCTTGGATCTGGAAATCCTTCTGCTCTGAGTGCAGTGGCTCCTCGGCTGCTCTGAGTGCAGTGGGTCCTCGATGACTCAGGATTCAGTTTCAGCTGCTCTGAGTGCAGTGGCTCCTAGATGACTCAGGATTCAGTTTCTCCACAGGACAGGAGCAGACCAACTCTGTGTCTGCTCCAGCCCAAAGGACCAGGCAGGGGCGGAAGGGAAGTGGAATTCCGGAGGGGCGGGGTTTGGGTAGCTGCTGTGCCCTGAATGTCCCTGGCTCCCAGATGTATCTCTGGGGCTTAGGGAGTGAGATGGAGTTCTTACCAGCTGCTCTGAGTGCAGTGGCTCCTGGATGACTCAGGATTCAGTTTCTCCACAGGACAGGAGCAGACCGACTCTGTGTCTGCTCCAGCCCAAAGGACCAGGCAGGGGCCGAAGGATAGATTTCTTTTTTAACTGCTTTATCGAGATATAATTCACACACCACACAGTTTGTCTTACTTTTCTATTGCTATGCTAAGACCGTGACTTGGGCTAGTTATAGAAGAGCTTACTGGGGCTGCAGTTCCAGAGGGTAAGTCCATGACCATCATGAAAGGGGGTATGGCAGAGGGCAGACCCACGTGGCACTGGAGCACCACCTGAAAGCTTATATGTTGATACAACAGCCCTGAGGCAGAGAAAAAGAGAGAGCCAACAGGCAATGTGATGGACTTTTAAAACCTCAAAGCCCTCATTCGGTGATTTACCCCCTCCAATAAGGCCACACCTCCTAATCCTTCCCAAAAAGTTCAACCAACTATGGACCACGTGTTCAAATATATGAGACTACAGGGGCCATTCTCATTCAAACTACCAGACAACTTATCTGCTTAAAATGCACAATTCAGTAGTTTTAATATTTTGCTTTTACTGATGCTGTTTTTGAGACAGGCTTTCACTCTGCAGCCCAGGGCTACTTAGAAATCATGCTACACCCCAGACTGGCCTCAAACCTCTTATCAATCCTACTGCAAAAGTCCTGCAACTACAGACATGAGACACCATGGAGAATGTGCAACATAAATTTTCTTGTTTTGGTAAATTTTGGTGCATAAGTCATAGATAACATAAATTTCACATATAATATTTTATAACCCCTACTGCCATGTTTCTTCAAAACAGCAAGTCTGTAACCACAGAACAATGACTTGGGCTAGCAATGAGTATCGATGACACAAACTTCCCTTAGTGGGTGCATGACTCTGGGTTCAAGTGCCCCCCTCTTTTAAAAGGACTGGCCTTTTCTTTCTTCCCTCAGTCGCTGACAAGCTCTGATCCTCTGATCTGTTTTGTATCTCTGTGGATTCTCCTTTCTCTAATATAAGTAGATTGATATGACATTCATGCTTTTCTGTCTGACTCTTTCCCCTTAGCATACTGTTGTCTAGGAACAAATGTAGATTGTATCAACACATCACTGTTAGACTGAACAATAATATTCCATAGTATGTGTACATATTCTTATCTGCTCACCTGTTGATGGACACTTGGCTTGTGTGTGGGATTGTGAAGCTGCTGCACTAGAGTATCTTAGCTCTGCGTTTAACTGGGACTGGCTTACAGCTTCAGAGGTTTAGTCCACTATAAGCATGACAGGGGGCATGGAGGCAGCAGGGAGAGAGATGCTGGACTGGCTTGGGTCTTTGAAACCCCAGTGACACACTTCCTCCAACAGAGCTACTCCTACTCCAACAAGGCTACATCTCATATTCTCTGTCAAGTGGACCGATTCCCTAAGGACCAATCATTCAAATCTAGGAGCCTACGTGGCCATTTCTATTCAAGCCACCACACTCGGAATGCACATGCATGAAATTGTCAAAGAATAAACAAAGAATCTAAAAACTTCCATCACCTACATAGATTTGTAGTCACTTTAAACATCTGAAACACATTTATTGTATTCTGCATTGCTGCACCATTTACAGAGTTATGTTTAAATTTTTCCTTGCTGGGGCCTGGTGTCAGTTGTTGGAGTTGGAGTTTTGTATTTTGTTTTCAGTACATAACCCAAGCTGGCCTCAAACTCAAGGCAATCCTAAGTGTGCCAACATATTCAGCTGATTCTTTATTTGCTTGTTTGTTTGTTTTTACTTTTTGAGACAGGGTTCCTCCGTATATCCCTGGCTGTTCTGGAACTTGATCTGTAGACCACGCTGGCCTCAAACTCAGAGATCTGCCTGCTTCTGGCTCCCCAGTACTAGGGTTAAAGGTGTGTGCTACCAGACCTGGCTCAAGGTATCAAAATACCTGTTTGATTTAACTGTTTAGAGTTTATCTGCAAAACCATTTCTAGCAGAACCTGGACTCAGGTTCAGACCCCACTCTTCATCATTTCTTTGTTGTGAGAAACTTGAAATCCTCTCCTTCATTATATTGCTGTGCTATCATTGGCTACAGTCCCCTACTGTCAATAGAACTCCAGAACCATCCACCCTCTCTGACTGTATCCTTGTCTATATGTGTATGGATTTATTAATGGGATCTCAATTCTATCCCACTGGTCTATATATCAGTTTCTATGTTGATATCATTCTGTCTTGTTTTCTATAACTTTGTAGTATATGTTTAATTAAATGATGCCTTCACTCTGTTCTTCAAGATTACTTTGGTTACTTGGGTTCTTTTGTGGTGCCACAAGAATTTAAGGATTATTTTTTCTATCTCTTCAATGAAGACTAGACTTTTGATAGTGACTACACTGAGTCTGTATGTGGCTTTAGATCATGAAATAAACAAATCACTAACAGTGACAGAGTACATTAGCAAAGTGAAAAGCAAAAAGCCCATGCATGACACGTCAGCAACTTTTTAAGACGAAATGTATGTAGTGTGTAGTTTACCCACATAAAGAACACAATCTCATGGTTTCAGAATGTGCACAGAGTTATGAACTCATGACGATCCAACTTTAGGCCCCCAGAGAAATCGCGTACCCATGAACAGTCACCCTATGCCCATCCAATCTACTTTCCGTCTGGACAGATTTCCCCATTTGCGTGACTTCCATACAAACAGAATCTTTTGTGGCTTCTGTCATCTAGAAAAATTTGAAAATTGAGCCATGTTTTAGTATTATCGTTCATTTTCATGACTAAAAAATACTCCATTGTATGACCTGCAGTCTGGACTTGATGCCATTTTAATATTTATAAATATTGCTGATGTTAATATTCATGAACAACTTTTTGTATGGCTCTAAGTTTTATGTCTGTTTGAGTGGAGCCTTCCCTTTTGACAGCTTAGGAGCCTAATACCTGCTCTCACTGCTCCCTTCTAGAACTTCACTATTTCAATAAAAAATAATGAAGTTGTTAATCAGTTACTGAGAGATAATTTGATCTTCTTTAAAAACATTTTTAGACTTGGACATTTTCTAAGTATGCATATATCACTTCTTTTTGGGTTTAGAACTATCGAAGGTGGAGAAGTTTTAGTGTCATGCCCTAAGTTTGCCATCTGGGGATTTCATTTTGTGATCTTCTGTTTTTCTGGTCAGGTTTGTTGTTATTGTTGTTGTTGTTGTTGTTTTGTCTTGTTTTTTTTATTATTGTTTATTTGCCCTGAGGGGTTGAAATAAGTACCTCCCACTTCCCAGCAAGTGTCCTACCACTGAGCTTCATACCTGGCTGGTGAGCTGTTTCTCTAAGAGACTTCACAGTTTGCCTATACTTGCTCTGGTATTGATTAGTTTAGG